AAGATTAAAGGGGCCATTATAATTTTTTAAGAGTCCATATGTATAGCTAAAGGCTGCATAACAAGCAACAATGCCAGATAGGAGATACCTTCTTTTGAGTTGTGAGCGCCATCTTGTAATGGCGTCTGCAGGGACGGCAGGCGGCTCCCCACAAGACCCCAATCTTATCTAATGGAATATTGATAACTGATTGGTGCTAGATGATGAACAGCTGACCTTCCTAAAACAAAGGCCTCTAGATAGGCTGACTAGATTCACCAGATGGACAAGTAGTGGGGATTGGCTGGGGGTGCTGACAACACAGCAGACAGTAGCGGGGATAACAGAGTACAAGGGCTCTAGTTGGGGGAGGGAGGCTATGGGAGGGTGCCATCTGGGAAGTGGGTGTATATTTGAATAAGATGATTTAGGATGTTCTGTGTGATATACACACACACAAAAAAAACAACATATTTTTTTAAATGTATTATATTTGAGGAGGAAGCATAAAAACTTACGTCCTGTTAATTAGCAGAGGTGATAAACATCACCATTGAAATCTATCCGATGACTTTATAGACATACACAGGTGCCAAGGATCCAAGTACAACCGATTATGACTAGTAATAATCAGATACATACAGATTAGAGATGCATGCACCAACATCTCAGTGTTAGTAGCAAAAACAATGAGCCTTTCTGTAAGGAACAATATATTCTAAAATGAAATGGAGATCTTTTTTAAAGGTTAAAAATCACTTACAGGGTTTATACTGAGTTCAATATTGTATAACTGTATTCTGTATTAATTGAACCAAAAAGTTTTATAGCCACTTTTGAAAGAGTTATATCTTTGCTCTGGAAACTGTTATTGAACATATTAAAACTTTAATGATATGCTTCTTCTAAAAAAAATAATATTAAAAAAGTAAGAAACAGCATATTCTAAAATGAAATGGAGATCTGCTTCAAAGGGTAAAAGCTCATTGAATTTTATATCTTACAGGGTTTATACTGAGTTCAATATTGTGTAACAGTAGTAAATCAACTGTGAACCTAAAAATTTATAGCCACTTTTAAAAGAGATGTATCCATGCTCTGGAGAGTGTTACTGAATATGTGTCTGAT